ATACATTAGGAAGGCTACAGAGAGGCTGTTCTCCTGACTTGCAGTGGTACAGATTACAAATACAGTTAGTAATTACATTGTTTTCAGTCATGCCCATGTCCTGAATTGTAGTGTTTCATCTTAGGAAGAAATATCTTCTTTATTAGTTACTCACCACTTCCTGAAAGATAGCACTTGCTGTAACTCACTTTCCAATTCTATGTCCCCAAAATTTTTCTACTTTTCACGATGGTCCATAGGCTTTATTGTATATATTTTTAATCTGCTTTATCATCTCTTCTAGCATAGTTTCCATGTGTGTTTTCTGGCCCATCTTTCTGGAGATCTCAGCTCTTTGTGTTACTCATCCAACTCCAAATATAGCTGTTGTATGTGTCTCATCTCTTTCGCTTGTTCTTACATTGGGTTTTTCCCTCCTCTTTTCTTTGTATTATCTAAGAATTATTGTTTACAGTACTTCTTCCATCTTCTCTAAATAGCAACTTTCTAGTTCCTTCATTTCATATAGTTTCCAGGAATTGTTTTGCTTGACCACTTTGCATGAGTATCACATTTATTATATTTCATAGTGTTAACTGAGTACTTTTCTTTGTTACAATATTTGGAGGAAATAGATAGATATTCTCACCTCTAAGCTACCAGAATGCTCTATATTAAGACTAATGAGCATACAGTAGACTTGGTAGCTCAAGACAGATGAATCCAAAAGCAATGTGTAGAAATACTGTTATCAGTTTTGCTTCAGTGACCAAGCTCCCAGCAGATCTTCTCTAGGAAAACTAATTATGAGATAAATCTCCTAAACAAGCAGCTTCTGAACAGCTTAACTATTCGGAACATTGAATAAATGACTCATTCCATCTAGTAAGAGAGCTTATTCTGATGCAATCAATAAAGCAGTTGTGTGGTTCAGTGACAGCCAGGAGGATTCACTAGCTGCTCTCCTCTCTGCTAAAGGACATCTTTCATCTCACACACACTATTCACAGGAGCCACATAAGCAGTGTCAGAAGTGAGAAATGCAGGAGTATTCCAAGCTCTTGGATCAGGGTGCTCACCAGCCCTGTGTTCTACCATCACATCAGGGAGGAGTGCTGGGAGTTCACCAAACCTCCACCTTACCCCACACACTTGGTTGTCTCCATGAGGAAGGGTCCCTTTTGTAGGAACCCAGCTCATATTTGGCACAGCATTCATGGGTAGACCATGTAAGATTTGTATCCTCTAGTTTTATTGTGAATTTGCTCACTGACTGGGGCAACCATTAAATTAGTCCAAATAATATGACAAATCAATATTTTTTAAAAAATGGTATTTAGAGGACTAAATTTTTAGAAGAAAATTTACTGACCATACCTGTAGCATGTGAATGGAGAAACGGATAGTTGACCTGTCTGGCCAGTTTTAAGAGTCACGAGTACAATTGGACCGTAATTGTGAGCTGGTCTAAAAACATCACCTGTGGGCCATCGTGAATTTTCAGGACAACAGTCAAGGTCAACTACGAGGCGGAGTCAGCCACTTACTTCCATTGCAGCAGCAGGTGAATAATATTCTGACTAAATGCAGTTCTTTGCTGACCTGTTAAACATCAAAACTGAGATTGCCCTGAGAGTTAATTGTGCTCACAGCTTAGTGAATACCATTTTTGGGATTACTTGCAAAGATTTGATCCCAGCTACTTACAAAGAAGATAAAACACTGCATTGTTTTAGGATGAGCAGTAATGGATTTAAGCTTAGAATCACAGATTTCTTTGTCCATAGTTATGGAAACCAATTGGACAAAAATAAAAGAAAAAATATTTGGTAAGGAGGAAGTGTTTCATTCTTTGAAACAGCACTTCTACATTCTCTTTACATGTTTCTATAATCTTTTCCAGCTCAGCATTCTGTGTAAAAAGTTACAGGTGGGGACTTGGAAGATTTCTTTAACTGCTCTTAATGGCTTGCACTCATTTAATTTGTACTAGCTATCCAAATTAGCACCATTACAGCACAGTTGGTTCTTAGTTGCTTCTAATTATCTGTGAACACCCTAATATTTTATAATCATCAGCATTTTATGAGCAAAACAGTATATAAATGGTCATATTTGATTCCAAACAGTTTGTCATTCCTAGTCAGCTAATTGCCCTCTTTTTCCAATAGCTACTACTTCATTATTAGTAACTATCAACTGCCTTATTTTTTAAACATGAGAGACTCAGTCTTGAGTACTTTTAAGGGATTTATCTCACATGAGTTTTACAAGAAAAACAACTAATGATCAGCTACAATTAAGACATCCTTTTCCTAAACAGAGCAAATTGATGGAGGATTCTTGTATCTCATCCTGATTCTAGACACTCAGCTTGCAGTTGTAACTCCAGTCATAACAATGTTGTCTAAGCTTTAAAAATAGGATTCCTTTTACAAGGTTCTTGAGGAATTATTTTTGCTTACTGTCTTTCAATTCTTCCTTTGCTTCCTTGGTATCTTACCATTTCATTAGTAACTACAATTGTTAAGACAACAAACTCAAACTTTGGCATTTCTTGCAGTTCTTCTAAGCTTTAAAAAAATCGTTGATATTTAACTGCACTGTTAGAAATTAGAGGGTTTTTTCCCAATGGAAAACATCCCTTTACCTTCAGCCTAGGTTATCTCAACCCTCTTGTCATAACTGTATTTTACTACCCAAATTCAATCAGACACAAATAGCTCATGCCTGCTTTCAGTTATTAGCTTCTGTGTAGCTTGAGAACAAGAAGCAAAACAGGCTTGGATAAAGAGGGGAAAACTAATAACTAATCTAATAAAACTAACAATCATATGCAAACACTCACATAAAAGAGTTAGAAATAAGAATGGTTATTCTAAAGATCCCATAATCCTGTGAGGCAAGGCTATTTGCAAGTCAATGGGATCAGTCCATAAGGTAACAAATTGTCTCTCGAGATCTCTAAAACAAAACATGAAGGCTTTTTAAAGAAATATAGAAATTATGGAAGAACTAGGTCAATTGGCTTATTAGATAGTCAAATTAGAGATCAGAAGTTAACTGGATACAGTATGCATGTGTGAAAGTATATGTATGTTTATGTATGTGAACATATATATGTAGATAAAAATAATTATATTTATAAATTGCTGCCTCATTTCATTTCATAGCAAACTTCAGTCTGTCAAGATTGTCTTTCCTTCAGCATCTTTGTAAAATGTGACATCCTGATGTTAAATCATAAAACTGCTGAGCCTTTCTTATTCTCACAAAACTCTTAGCAACTGGAATGAATGTTGGGGTCTGATGTGCACTGTTGACCATCTGCAGAAGCTATGTAAATATACAAGAAATGAAAGGGAGATTTATGGCACCATTATTATGGTCTGACAGCAATATTTCAGTAATGCTCCCTCCTAAGACTTACCTTTGCTAATTTTCATGCTTGTCATTTTGTTTCATTTACATCACAGACAGAGATGCCTAGCATGCTCAAGCCCTAAATATACCTAATTGCCAAGTAACCTAAAGTATGCAAAAGCAGATAAAAAGTATGTTCCTTACCATAGTGAGATAATCAATACAATCAGTTTTATGTTCTGTCATGATTTAACATAGCTGCGGGGATTGCAAGCAGGTTTCTCTAGGGTATGAAATTATGCCATCAATTTGTACAAAACTACTTTTCCTTCAGCATTATTATCACAGTTATTGATGGGACACAAATGATGAGTTGTTTTCTGAAATTCTTTTCAAAATCATGAATTAGCCTAAATCAGCATTTTTTACTAAAATGCCCCCAATAAAGTTCTCAATTTGGGATATTCTCCTCAGATCTTACTCTTTGGAGTTTCCATGTGTGTCACCGAAGGACATGGATCCATTGAAATTCAAGTTTTAGGTAGGTAATTCTTTGTGCTGGCGCATGTATTGATTGCCTTTTATCTACCTGTATATGCATCTGTACAGCATCACTGTCAGTGCTTTTCACTCAAAAAGAACACACAGACATAGTGAAATATGTGATAGCAGTGTAAATTGTGGGTTTAAGTAATAAATTCAGGAGAGGCATTCAGTTTTTCATTCTTCCTGCTCTCTGTGCATAAAGTTCTGCTTAGGAAGCGGACAGAAGTGCTGTTTCATCCTGAAACACAACATTGCCTGGCCTTACGGCTTGCTTTAGTCCTTTGTCAGGCAACTGATTGTAGGATGGATGCATGTTTCCCCAAAATGGTCTCCTGCTCTAGTAGGGCATTAACACTTCCTGTAGTGAAAGGCCAAGATACACAGTTTGTCCAAGTTACACAGTCTGAGGTTTTCCTAGGGCAGGGAGAAAACTGCTGGCAGTCCCTCCAGCTGAGACTGAACCACTTAGATATTCTTAATTTATTTGAACTAAAAAGTGCTGTAGGTCTCCATACCAGTGAGATGCCTGATACTTTTCTCTTAAAATGCTGAACAGACTTTGCTAGAGAAAGAGCCTCCTGTTGGTGGTAATGACAGATGTAAATGTCAGGTCCAGAATTTCTATGGCAAGTCCAAGCTTAAGTATAAACATAGCAAATAGCTGCTGGCAGCCTTTTATTTTCAAAGGTCTTGCTTCCTGTGCAGCTTTGCGACTCACAGGGTTGACCTGTCTTTGTCAAAGGAGAAAATTTCTAAGTTCTAAATTAACACTTACTGCTGTTAAGGCAATGTTTACCTTCTTGTCAATCTTTGTAATGCCATTGTTTTCACTGTAGATATTTCCTGTACTCAGGTACCATCCTTCTACTCTGGAAAAATCAGACTGGCATGGAGTCTGGTATAATACCTGACTTTTGACCCAATACAACTGTTCTTTCTCAGTATATGGATCTTTATCATTTTTTTAGTTTGGAAATTCTAGAGGTTCTTTAGTCAGTGCACTCTGTGCTCTCTTGAACAGTGACATATCTTTTTATCTGACCCATAAGATTCCTATTTTCTTTCAAAGATTATGTGGTTTCCCTACATGCTTTTTATATATTTTGTATTAAGAAAGAGACAGCAGAACTAAAAACCTGCTTAAAATGGAGAGTTTATGCTTCTGATGTTGGAATGAAGTCCATAGAGATTGTCTCTTTATTCATTACAGTTGGATAAAGAGATATTTAGAGTGACTAAAGGTATAGTCTAGTAACAAAACAATTTCTTTCCAAGTAATTTTCTATGGCATTTGTGATTTGTGTCTTTGTTCTCCCTCTCTCCACGACGACCACTTCTCCTTCAGAATTTTTAAGTGTTTACAGGGAACAATCACAAACCAAGGGCAAAAACAAATTATTTACCAGTAACTTGAGTTCTCCTACACAACAATTTTCTCTGTAGAGCCATTCCATCTCCTTCTCTCCCCAGGTTTCCTATTGAAAGACAGATTTTTCCAGTCAGTTTGGAATGAAGTAGGAGGGTGTAGTAGTGACTCACACATCTGCCAGAGGTAAAATGGCATTCAATGCATGCGCTAGTACAATTTGTACTTACCTGAAATTTGACAACTTCAACAGCTCTTTGGTGTCTGACATGGCGTTCTCATAAATTTCACTAAATACCATGAATCTGTGGAAGAGGTAATCCCTCCCCCCAAAAAAGGAAATTCAGTTACTGGTAAGTAATACAGTTTTATTAAAGATGTTAAGCCATAAGGATTCCTGCTCATCCCCAATAACCTAAAATAACTATGCCATTTAGTTACTTGGTGTACTAAATTCATAATTATTATCAAAATATGTTATACTGAATACAAATGAGCTAAACATTCTGGAATATTTCATAATTTTCATTATCTGAAAATTTCAAAGAGTTTTTTGAGAGCATGAGAGGATTTTAAATTTGCTAAACTTCAGATGTCATGTTTTTATCTCCCTGTAAAAAATCTGCAATTTTTTTATGGCTCTGATGCCACAGATATAAGAACTCCAACTGATTTCAGTTGCCTAGAATGAATTCCTTAACAAGAAAACTACACTAAAAAACCTCAAACAACCAAACAAATGAAAAAAGAAACAAACAACAACAACAAACAACAACAACAAAAAATCACCCCAGAATTCCCCAGTAGGGCTTGACCAAAAGCTAAATTAAGAATACAATTCTCTTGACATCACTGGCCTTTGGATCCTTGTCTTTTGAGTCTGTAACATTTAAACATAGTTGAAATGCTTTAGAAACAAAGGAAAAAAGATTCTTAGGAAAATTACTAAAAAACATCTGGTGTGTTTATGTCTGCTTCATTCTATTCAACTGTGAAACAATGTTTTTCTTCTTTGCTATGTTATAGGTAAAATGTGTAAGAGGAAATACTGTTGTAAATAATCTTTTAAACCAATCATGTTTCTGCCTAACCATCAAAGCATCTTTCTATTTGCAGACACCTAGGAGCAATACTTTTCTTACTTGTAAATACTATAAACTTTCATCCTATGCAAGAAATTATCAGAATGGCTTCTAAGGACTTTTCTTAAACCTTCCATTTTTTGTCTTTATTAAACTTTCTTTTTTCTCAAGCTCTTCATAATCTACATTGTGACTTCCTGTGTTTATAAAACTTTTCATGTTTATTTCAGTGCCAGTTTATATTCATTCTAATTTTAATTTTCCAGTTTTGATCTTTAATTTTAAAAAGAGTATATAGAAAAAGCTCTCAGATTAATCACTGTTTCATTGGCCTAGTTCAAGTCAATTTCAGTCAGCTATCTCAGTGAGATCAGAATCAAACCTGACATTTATTAGGAACCTGATAACCACAAAATTGTCAGTAGCTGCATAATTCACTATACCCTGTGAACAGATCAGGAAGGAATATTTCTGGAAGTACTTTCCATTGCCAAGGACAGGAATTATGAGTCCATATCTCAAATCTTAACCAAATCCTAATCTGAAGAGTAGAGGAGACAGACATTTTAATGCTGCTTAGCCTACAAATTGTTTTGTGTGAAAAATGCTTTTGTGGTTCAAAGAACAATACTATGAAGAGAAATGCTAACTCACTGTTGTACTCTCTTTTTATGTAGATACCTTGCAGTCACAGCTTATCAATATGGGTGTAATTCCTACGTTAGTGAAATTGTTGGGCATTCATTGCCAAAATGCAGCTCTGACAGAAATGTGCCTTGTTGCATTTGGCAATTTAGCAGAACTCGGTAAGTCCACTATATTAATCTCAAATTTACATCCAGTTTTCATAATGTTAAGTCTTAGTTAAAGACTAACAAAAGCTCATTCAAGTCCTTTTGGTATATTCAACATTAATAGACAACTAATTTTTACTTGTTTTTTCTAGAATATATAGTTGTCTCTTTTTTTTTCCTTCAGTAACTCAAATTCATTTGGCCACTTAATTCAACCTTATGTTTTATGTTACTGTGCTTCAGTGCAGCTAAGCATATTTTAAATCATCTAAACCGTATTTCCATAGCACTGCTACTAAATGTGAAATATTTATTAATAATATAAATATTGTATCCTAGTGTAGCTCCACAAAGTTTTATCGAGATTAAATTTGGCTCATGAAAATCTCTGAATGAAATTGAGACAGGCACAGTTCATTAATCTGCATATTCAGTATTATTTTCAGTGCAGAATTTTAACATATTCTAGTCTAAATACGTCCATGTATAAATCATTAATAGATGTTAATTTTAGTTAAAACTTCATTTAAATTGAAGTTTGTGGACCTGCTTTGATCTGATGTCTTTCCAAACAGATCAGTTTTCATTGGAATTCAGCCATGTGTAAATCAATGGGTTGTTAAGGCCTGTGTTTTATTAACATTTATTTAGATGGTTTATATTGTTCTTTTGCTAACGTATTTAAGGAAATTCTAGTTTTATGAGTTGTTTTTTTTTTTTACACTGGAATAAATAATACATAGCAGTCATGATATCATCTAAGAATGTTCAGCAGATCAAAATATGAAAAATATATCTCTGAGTTTGTAGTACTTGGTGGCCTGAGTTCGTAGATTTCAAGGCCAGAGAAAGTATTGTGTTACCTAGTTTAGTTTGATCATACATATAATAAATTTATTTACAGCAGACAATTCTTCTTAACAAATCAACAGCAGAAAAAAACAGCAAGGTAGCACTAAAGAAATTAACAAATCGGAGGTCTGCAAGATGGGTACTGTGTACTGTGCCTGCACAGCAAAAAGTATAAGAGTCATACACTGAAAGTTCTAGTGCTGAAATGCAACCAAAACCATAATGATATTAAATATAATAAATAGTAGACTCACTGAGAATTTCCTTTCCCTCTTTGGAAAGATGCAGCTCTGTCTTGTTGAGTAATGAGAACCATGGGAAAGAAATTTCACAGCAGCTGCTTCTCTTCCATTTCGTACACATTGAAAAGCTGCTCATTCTTTAAGACTGGCACAAAATTAATTTACTTTGTAATACTTTATTCTCCCTTAAGCAATAGTCAATCACATTGTAACTATTATTTTATTTTTGCCCTGTAACTTCAGGGATTTTTTTTTGTGAGCTTGTCATTTTTCATCACTTACAAGACAACAGCATTGCAAGAATCCCTTGAACAGCATTATATGACAATTCTGTGTCAAAGCAGGGCACAAACCAGTGATGGATCTGCTAAAATACTGGAAAGATCAAAAATCCACATAGAATATAGTATGCAAGCATGCACAGTGAGAGAAAATGATGAGATGTGCATAAAATGTGTCTAGGACTGCAGGTCATGCTTTTCCCAAGTCCTTGGGGTCAGTTCTACAGTAAAGTAATCCCTAAGCATCCGACAGAGCAATAGCAAAGGTGCTGGAAGGTTCTCTATCTACAGATGGCCCTCAGGAGGTGGCAACTGGAGAATGCAGAACACCAGCCCTACCCCCTGCATCCCTTGTAATACTGCCAGTGAGGAGGAATATGATACAGGCAATGGAATAAGAGATGCTTTTTTTGAATGTACATTTGAAGATTTGTTGGCTAATCTGGTAGGAACCTTGCCCATCTGTAAAACTGCTTTATGCTGTATCTGTGCAGTATGAGATGGCCCAGCAACAGCCACACACAGATGTCAAAAGAAATGTCACCATCATGAGACCATGTAAATATTAAAGTATTTGGTGCAAATCTTCATCTCTCCCTTAGAAAATGCAGTATATAACCTGCTCTTCTTTTTATTAAGATGAGGGAAATCAAAGACTTTTTTTGTACTATTACTTTTTCTGTAGCTAGCTTACATTTTGGTAGGCAAAACCAGACCAAACAGCCCTGAATCATATATTTATATATTTATAACAGCCTTAACCATAACTAATTCAGATCAGCACATTTAAAGTGTTAGAGATTTACCTTTCATTTTGTGATAAGCATGAGTCTATTGCTCTTGTCTGTGAAGATCAGTTAATCATCTTACCGAATAAGCCTGGTAACAAAGAGAAAAAGTAGTTCTGCCTTCTTATGTGGTTTGCTTACTTTATACTGATTTTCTCCTTTTGCATCACAGAGTCAAGTAAGGAGCAGTTTGCCTACACAAACATTGCTGAAGAGCTTGTGAAACTGTTCAAGAAGCAAATAGAGCATGATAAAAAAGAGATGATTTTTGAAGTTTTGGCCCCTCTGGCAGAAAATGGTGAGAATTTTTTTTTCTTACTCTAGCTTTTACTCATTCTCTTGTGTATTTTTTATTTCAGTATATCAGTGTGTTTTTCAGGCACTAAATGCAGAGTAATGGGCTGTCTCCTTCCAAAGCCACCACAGCTGATCCTTGTGATTTTAGTGTCATGAAAAGTGAATGGGTCTTAATTGTTAAGCATATGACAGGAGTCAGCACATTGTTGATGCTAATTCCATCACTGATTCACTCGGTTTAGAGTTATGTTATATTTTACTGCCCTGTCTCCACAGTGGGAATATCAAAAGCTGCTTTTTAGAGAGCTTCACAACATTTGTCTGCAAACATTGGCTCAAGTGTTCATAGACCATTGGAGCACCAGGACATCATTTCCTGGAATCGCAGTGCCACTGGCAGTTCCATTTCCTATACCATTATTTTTGCTAGGGGCATGTCAATTGCAGAGCTAAGTGCTGGACACTCTGCCCTTACTGTTGATTGAGAGATCATATGAATTGAATTTGGGTGTTTGGTGGCATATCTTGCATAGCTCCAGGCAGTCCCTGGGAGTTTGACTCACTGCTCAAGCGAGAGCAGGAATTGATGTGCACCCCTGATCATCCCTCCGGAGGAACAAAGGATCAGACAAAGGTTGCTTGTACAATGTATCATCTGCCCTTAATGGAAATAAAGAAATGTGTTAACAGGTGGAGCTGGACTGTTGTGGAAAGCAGTTCTGTATAGAGAAGACATCACAGTATTTGATGGCTCTCTAACCTCGTTTTAACCACTTCAGCATTAAAGTTTTTTTTAATTGAATAGATTGTTAGATAGAACTACAAAGTCAGATTTATGTTTCACTCTACTCTGTTGTGCATACACACTCTGTGTGTGTTTGTTTTACAAAGTGTAAGTCAGGATAAACTTTCACTTCAATTAAAAAAATTATTTTGACTTTTATTTTAAGGAAAATCAATTCCTTTTTTCAGCTCTAAAAATGCACATCTTTTCCAAAATATATAATTTATTATATAATAATTTAAAATCTGCTCTAAGATAGTTCCATCCTCAGAATGACACAAAATAGGTTTGACCTTTTTATGTGTTTGATATATGTCAGTTCAAATGCTTAATTTTTCTTAGAGCATGTTTTTTAGTTGCAGTAAGATTTGAGAAGTTCACTGCTGTTAACACTAACTCAGCTGCTTAGATGTTGAGAGGCAGTCAGAAATATATTTCCACTGTGGATTCAAGGCATACTTAAATGAGTTCACTTTGCTTGTACTGTTTAGGTGCTTTTGATTGTAGATAATTAGCAATAGGCCAGAAGGGAAAAACATCTCAATGAAGTATTTGCAGAGTCTAGGGTTTGGTGGTTGGGGTGTTTTAAGGTTTTTTTCTAATTTACTTGTTCATTAAGCATGCTGGTGTAGCAATTTCAATTTCAAATCACAGAACATCTGCAACCATGTATTCTATAGCTAAGGGAATTCTCCATTTTCTAAAGCATCTCAGTGCAAAAGAGCCTATTTTAAAAAAAAAAAAATCCCAACTGGAGATTTTGCATTTCCTTACAAAGTTCATGAGAAGTCAGCCACTCTTAAAGGAACAATGAATTTCATGGAATCAAAAAGCCTAGTGACATCAGGAAATTGAGAGTCAGACACATCCTTCACCAGAGGTAGAACCACACCTGTGGCTTGTAAACTGTATGAAAAAAATATTTCCAAAGCCCTGGCCTAAAAATATTTTAACTTAGGTTAAACACCTTTTTGTAAAAATACCATTTCATTTCATTTAGAAAACTCAGAAAAATCCATTTCTTTTGCACACTTCTGCAGAGCTTTGTGACTTATTTTTTCAAAATCAGCCCGCAAAAACTACCAGAATGAGTTCCATGTATGAAATGATCTAATATAGTATAAGACAGCCTGCTATTCCCTCTTAACAGAAAGGGAGTTTAGGCATATCTGTTAAATATTTTATTATTTTAGAAACAAGAGAAAAAATATTGTTCCCAGATTCTGTGTTACCTGAAGAAAATATTTATTACCTTCTCAAGCCTTGTTTTGAATAACAACTAAGAAATGAGTTTGCCTCATCAGTTTCCAAAGCAAACTTCTCTGCCAAGCCAACCTTTTGGATTTGGCCTTCCTGCACTCCTCCTGCAGCCCTTTCAACAAATGAGTCTGCTGTGCCGTAACTGAGGTGCCACAAATTTGCTGTAGAGAAATAGCCTCATTTTTAGAAGTGAAGAGCTCCATACACCTTCAGCTTATCACTGTGCTCTAAAGCCAGTCCAGAGCCAGGGAGAGCCTGTTAGATGAATAATAACAGAAGTTGGCCATAAGAACTTCAAATAAAGTACTTGGGGTTTTATTAACAGAATTTGTCAGTGAAAACACTGACATCAATGCGGACATCACTGTTTCTTACAGTCTGTCCTGCATATGTGTGTGTGATAGATGTATTTAAAATCCTGATTCTGACTCCTATTATCCATGATATTCCAGATGTCATTAAGCTGCAGCTGGTTGAAGCAGGTTTGGTGGAGTGCTTACTGGAGATCGTCCAGAAGACTGTGGACAGCGACAAAGAGGATGATATTGCAGAGCTTAAAACAGCTTCTGATCTTATGGTTTTGTTATTGCTTGGAGGTAAGCATGGGCTGTCACTATGTTCTGCAAAGCAACAGCAGATACTGTTTGGCTGCTGAATTTCACTATTTATGAATGTTCTAAATAACCTGGATGACCTGTTACCCACCAGGCAAACATTTAACAGGTCAGATTTTGTCCCTCATTGCAGGCCTGGATTAATTGTAGTGGAACCAGCAGAGCTTTTCAGATATAAAGAGAATTCTCCCTAACAAACCCTTTGGCTTGCTGATTCTCTGTGCTTTTTACCCCAGATGAATCCATGCAAAAGTTATTTGAAGGAGGAAAAGGCAGTGTGTTCCAAAGAGTACTTTCATGGATTCCTTCCAATAGTCATCAACTACAGCTTGCAGGAGCACTGGCTATTGCAAATTTTGCCAGAAATGGTAAGAACATGCCATAATAGCTTATGTAAATTTATGTGTTCTCCTCTATCATGCTCTGCCCGTACAGCTGCAAATAAGAACTGCGTTTCAGTAATGCTGCTGTTCAGTTACACAGCAACATCACTAGTTTTAAACTTTACAATCCTCAAAAACATTAAACCTACTTTAAAAATATTATTTTGTATTTGTAGAGGGCTATAGAGGATTTCTGCCTTCTTTAGTATTTCTTCTATCACTCTTCTAAGTTTGTCATGAGCACTGCAGTTCTCACAGATGATGGTGGTCAAATTCTCAACAATGAAATCTAAAAAGGAGCAAGGAAATAACCCTTCTATTCATAAGAAGCTATTGTAAAAATCTTAGTAATAATCTCCCCTTCACAAATGACTTGTTACATCTCACACAGACGGAAACTGCATCCATATGGTGGATAATGGCATAGTTCAAAAGCTGATGGATCTGCTAGACAGACATGTGGAGGATGGAAATGTAACTGTGCAGCACGCTGCACTGAGTGCTCTGAGAAACCTGGCTATTCCTGGTAAGCCTCTCTTTGCATTGCTAACTACACAAAGGTGAAATTCTGTTCTCCCACTGTACCTCCCAGGGAATCTGGGCGGGAGCACTGACTGACAGTCCTAGAGGCAGGTCAGACTGCTGCTTTTCATTCTGGCCCATCACTGCTTTTGTGTCTATTGCACAGCAGTTCAGAGAAGCAGTTCTGAATACATCACAGGCATAGTGACTGTCCCTTGCCACTTTGATCCCACAGTATCCCCCACCAAAGAAAGGGCAGCCTTGTAATTGGTGCAGAGCTTAAGAGGCCTTGAATATGATTTCTCAACCTTTTTTGTCCAGAGCACTGCATATTTTTCTTTCTGCTTGCTTCATTTGCAGTCTGTCTCACAGCTAAGGGTCCCCACCAGAGAGCAGTGCCCACTTTGTTAAAACACTGCATCTTACTTAAGACACAGAAAATTGCCAAATTAGAGCTGGAGGTAGACTGGCAGAATAGCCAGCCTATTGCAATTAGTTACTGTTTGTTGGCAGTAAGCTGAATGCTAATTTTGTCATTTTTAGTAACTTAATTTGTATGAGTTTTGATTACCCAAGCATAAAGGTAGACTATACACACAAAACGACAAAGCAAATCTGTAACACTTTTGAATGGTTTCTTGTGCCAAACCAAAAATAACTCTTCCATCCATATAACCTTATTTTACTATTTTTGGTTTTGACAAATCATAACTTTTAGAAATGATCATGCATACATACTAAACCCACTGAGGTTCAGCAGTATTCCATTTGCTTACCTTTCTCAGGTGAGTCATTGTTTTCACTTCCATCAAGCAGCTTCCCTGTAGCCTATGCTGAAGGGTGTCTGCCAGAGACCTACATAACCATCCTTGTACATTGTTAGAAAGAAACGAGCAAGTAATAACTGACCTCAGTATAAGCTCTTTGTCAAAACACTAGTTCAAATTCTTAATAAGTATTTTTTTCCAAGTGCACTACTGGGCAAGGTTTGCACCTTAAAGGCATTTCAGAGAGCTCTGTGAAAGTGGAGAACATGGATTAGTGTAAGGGGTGAAAGAGAGGTTAGAGAGGGGAGGAAGGCAACAAAGACTGCAGACTCCAGGCATGTCAGGCCAGAGTGTTGTTTGTGTGAAGTATTGGAACTGGGTAAGAGGTTATTCTGCTAACTGGATGCTTCGGTTCTTTTGCCTGTGAGAAATAGAAGAGTGTGTTTGGGACTCGCAGAAGTTTCCTCATATTTAGGGGTGCAAGTATTAGCCTGGGCTTCTGCCTGATGCATTTTGTGGAAGATGCCTTTCCTAGATCAAAGGGAAGATTCTACCCCTTTGGTGGTGCTCAAGCTGAATACAAAAAGTTAGATGTGCATGCTAGGAAAAAGCACTTAATTTCACAGAACTGTGACATTTTCCCACAACACAGTATCACCAGCGCACACCATTCCTGCAGTCTGTGCTCACAACTTCTTTTTCAAACCATGTCTGAAAATTTGCTTCAAGACCAGCTCTGAAATAAACTGCATCTTCCAGAAATGTTTTTGAGATCAATTCCTGTTCTTTATTCATGCAGTTGTAAATAAGGCTAAGATGCTATCAGCTGGTGTTGCAGAAGCTGTATTGAAATTTCTCAGATCGGAGATGCCCCCCGTTCAGTTCAAGCTGCTGGGAACATTAAGAATGTTAATAGATGCACAAGGTAAAAATAAACTGTTCTCTATGTTAAGTGATTCTCTTTGGTTCATTCTGTGATATGCTGCCAAGATTCTTAAAAGAGAGAAGCAGAGTTTTTCTAAATTTCATTCCTGGAGTCATGGAATAAATCTAATACATGTGCAAAAGGAAAGGAATGTGGGTTAATTTTTTTTTTTCAGAACTCCTAAACTGACTACCAGGGACCCTCCAAATAGGTGTCAAATGCTTATTTACTTTTGAACTTCTTTACACTGTCACATTACAAGTGTGTATTGAGGTGCGAGTGTTATGAGCTACCACTCCTGTTTTGCTGTTCATTTACTGTATTCCCTGGCTGTACCTTGGTCCTTGGAACAGGATAATACTCTATTAATTGATAGACTGCAATTCCAAAAAGAAAAGGCACCTTTTAGTTACCAGGTTGTTCCAGGATGAGGATTCATGAAATCAGAAGTCTGCTAAAAAACAGAAATTGTTCATGAGGTAAATTAGCTGTGTATTTATTTTTGACTCAGTCCTACAGATTTTTTCAAAAGATCCATTCTAGTTCTAGCAAAGCTATTGGATGTGAAATAGACATTTTTTTAAAGAAACTTATGTGACTTACAGTCTATCAAACCTGATCTAACTGACCACAGTGCTCCCTCCTGGCAACAGTCCCTCCTGATTTTTAATTCTTGAGCTGGCTCACAGCTCAGCTGGGGGTGTGATATCACCTGTATTTTCCCTGCTCTTCATCAGTGCACAAGCTTCATTAACTGGGCTGATAAGTTGTTTCAAAAACTGGATTATGAATGTTTGTCTGGATTTTTTTAAATTTCTTTTCATTTTGACTGGTTTTACTTGCTTCAATGCAATCTAGACTTTTCCCTTTGGTAGTGCAGGCTAGTGAAGTTCTTCTAACTCCTCCAAGTTAGTAACTTTCAGCTTGTTTTCCTAGCACTTGGTTTAAAAAAGTGACAACCTTTTTGTTGTGTTGTTGGCTCTGGCATCATGTAGCAGAAGCAGCTGAACAGCTGGGCAAAAACGTAAAACTGGTGGAACGATTGGTGGAGTGGTGTGAAGCCAAGGATCACGCAGGTGTGATGGGAGAGTCCAACAGACTACTTTCTGCACTTATACGACACAGCAAATCAAAAGTAAGTTAGTGGAGAAAAAGGTCAGTTTGTCAGAACCAAGAGTTAGTTACCTGTGCGCTTGCTGTTGGTAACCAGCCCTCCACCATGCAATCCTTCTAGTGAGCCAGCTTGGGTATTCATGTGTTACATCACCTCTGCCCAAGGCTTGACTTATTTTTATTTTAAATGTATCCTGCAGAAGTTCAGCATGCTGTATTTTCTATGTTTTAATGATATATAAAGCTATATATGAAAAATCAGTGAACTCAGTTGTTAGGATCTTGCTATATGTTTATATAAAACTGAGATCCAGGAATAGTCTGTCTGCCTACTCTTCATACAGCATATTTCAGAGTTTTAAGATTGTCATGGATCGTTTGAAATTATAATTTATTCCAAATTCTAACAAAAACTTGCTTGTATATGGCACAAAGTAACATCAGGAAAAATTCATCTTCCCCTCCCATCACCTTTACATCAATCAAATATCTTTACCTAAGCAGTCCAAGTCCATCATTCTTGTTCAGCTGAGTATTAGACAAAGCAGTCTTCCAAACATCTCTGGAGACAGACTATTTCAGGCTCAGACTTCCTTTAGCATGTTCACTGCTATGAACACAGGCTGCATTACTGAACTTAAATAGCAAGTGTGATTTGGAGAGCTTGGACTGTACACTGACCGCTTCATTCATCCATGGCATTTATGAAGTGAAAAATATAGTAGGGGCCTGATGTGTACTGAGTGTCTCCAAGAATAAATCAACAGGCCTCACAGGGATTTAAATCTTTGCTGATTGCTAATATCACTGTCTCTGTCTAATACCCTTTCTCCATTTTATGTTCAGCCTCTAAAACTGATGAGGGTTCATTTTTCTGGTTCTCACTTCTTCTGCCCCCCTCCCCAAAGTCTCCAACATGCATGCATGGATGGCAAACACCACCACAGATGTGAGACTTAATAAATATTTTCTATAGGACAACAGAATTAAATTCTAATATGGATACACTACAGATGACATCAAATAGATATTTTAAGGCAGAAATTAACAGCATTATCAGAGGTTAACTAGTTTTTGTGGGGTGCGTGTACTCACAGAGGAAATTTAACATGAAGAAGATAACAGAGCTGAGAGGGTGGGGGTTTTTTAAGCTTTTGCTGCCCTCTAGGTTTGAATATGAGTACAGCTGAATGGCTCTTAACATCAGGTTTGAATTTGGCTTTTAATTTTAAATGCTTTGGTGTAATATATACAAAGGCAACAGTTAGTTTTAGTCATTCTACAAAACTGGAGTAGGTACCTTTGATTTCAGCCACACTAGCACCAAACATCATGGCTGTCATCTATTTGGTACTGCCTTTTAAAAGGTGATGTTCACCTACAATATAAAAAAATTTGATGTCAAAGATGCTGATTGGTTCTTAAGACTTACATACCCAAAATTCCACACTAATTCAAATAGAACTTAGCAGTTCCAGATTGTCTCAGTCTGAAAATTACTTTGGCATGTTGGTTTTTGTGTTTTTGGGGTTTTTCTTTAATGAGGTTGGAACTGAAAGTATTAGAGATGGTTTGTTTAGATTTTTTTTTTTTTTATGTTATAGTCTCACAGTAGTGAGACTATACATCTCACTATTTTGGCTTGTGGCTGGTGTAAGAAAGGGGGATGTGTTTTAAATAGAAATTTAAGATATAGATGAAAAATTTTAAATCATATTGTTTCAAGAAATAAATGCTATTTGAAACCTTTGTGCACTCACAGGACAAATAAAAATAATAAAAAAACCAATCCACATTTCCTTGAACAGTTTCCTTTCAGTGTGCCAAGTCACCTGATTTTTCAGACAAACATTTTGCAAGTATTTCTGGGATATAAAATGGCGAAAACATGAGGTGCACAACCATTTTTGAAATTATAACTAGAACCTGTAGAGTATTAGTCTACTATAATCTTTATCTCTTGTCACGTAAGTTGGATCAAATTTTGGACTTGAAAACAGTATCCTAGTTGTGTATTTTTTATCTACTTTAGACACATTTAACCCAGTTAAAGTACATTTTAAGTTCCTAGATACTAGGCAGCAGTACTTTACAACAGTTCATTTTAACAGCTGACTTTAGAACAGAAACCAACACATTGGTATCCCATACATACCTTTTCCTTACCGCCTTTATATTTGAAGAAAAATTCCATAATAGGATACCACTGCTCATTTTCCTGTCATATGTCTACACAGTTTTTCAAGTACACCATTTGTGTTACATAATAAGGTGTCATATTTGTGATCTCACCTCTCTGAACATTTTGAAGAAACTGAAAATTCATGGAAATGAAGCATTTAATAACTTTATTATAACTATGTTTGTGTGTTTCCTTACCCCAAGTATATATTTTGTTGGATACTTTGAACCCCTAATTATTTGATGATTGATGGCACAGCATGAGAACTTGAGTTACACTGTATAACCTGGAAAAGAGTTCATTATGTGTGTCTTAACTTAGTTATGGGGTTACCTTCCTTGGTTTAACACCCTGTACCTTGCAATTGCAGAGCAGTAACAGATAATATGTAGGCCTGCATGTCTGTACATTGATATATAAAGTGATTCTGTGTGCACAAAACCAACAAGTACCCTTACCCAAAGATAACACACTATTCCTGACTGTTTCCTTATTTAATATAGTTTGTATGCAGTGCAGAATTTTGTTATCTTTGCATTATTTATTTTAGGATGTAATTAGGACCATTGTACAGAGTGGTGGCATCAAGCATTTAGTAACCATGGCGACCAGCGAACACGTAATAATGCAAAATGAAGCTCTCGTTGCACTGGCATTGATAGCAGCTCTAGAGTTAGGTGAGTATCCCAGGAGTTCACTTCATTTGTCTCCTTTCCAGTCTGTGCCCAAGAGAAGCCATAGAGGGAGAATGCAATGTAGAATAGCCTCCTCCTTCCACCTGCCTTTCCGTATTACCGTGGTGGTTCATGCAGACATGGGCAAGCCATCATGTTATGCAGGAAACTGGAGAGTGCTGGTTACACGGGATCTACTCCATCATTCCAGTAGGTGGTGGAGAGATCTAGAAAGGCCCTCCAGTTTAACTTTCAGATTTGGGGTAAAACTCAGAAAGCAAACATACCTTAGACTAGAGACTATATGACCTGACCACATTCCTACACTGGAATGTTAATCCACTTTTGAGAAAGCTTTTCAAAGTGAAGAGTGCACTTACCTAATAAGTGAGAACTAGAAAATACATGGAGGTGGTTAATGCCCCCAACATGTCTTCATTAAAATACCCAAGATTAAGTGCAAGAATTGCCATATGAAGGCAGACATGATTACATGTCTTGACCTGTGTTTATAGTACCTCTAATTTTGAAACAGGAAAGTAAATGTTCAACAGAGGTTTGTTTATCCTGTTTACTTACTTTTTAACTAAGGAACTAAACAAACAACCTTACATATTTTTGTTCTTGATTTCATCTCTTGCCATTGTGTACTATGGGAATGCTCTGTTCGACTTTCGAATCACTGCCAATACCTCAAGGAATTGTTTTAAATAAAAGGAAAGATGTTCCTATTCACATGAATCATCTCTTTGTCTTGTCTTCAGGCATTTAAAGGTTGAGCCCGAATTCAATACATGTATCTTAGAAAACTACAGAGGCAGTAACTCAAATGGACATCTTGAAAAGTTTTCCACAGGCTTTATAATGGACCCTGAGCTCCCTCTACCATTGAATCAAGAACTACGCAATCTATATTTACTCAGACAGAATTTCCAAAAGCAAATTCAGCCAATGGATGTGTTGAAAGCTGAAATATTTCAGGTGTTGGCCTAAATGGCTGGAAAGCCTCATGGCTTTTCCATCAGCCTACAGAACATTAAGACTGGATTTCATCATTAAACTCTGTGACTGTCCTTTCAAGCAGTTAGACAACGTCACATTTTTATAGCAAAACCTGTGATTCTTGCCATCATACTATCAAATATGTGCTTGAGTTTTATACCAATGAGTTATGTACCACAGCCTCACTTTCACTCTGGTGAGAGATCATGTTTCAATAAAGGGATAACACATAGAAGCATCAAAGCAAGTGGCACTTCCAGACTTAAAATTTTCACTTGTGTTTCAGTCACTGCTGAAAAGGATCTTGAAAATGCTCAGCTTGTTCAGATTCTACACAGACTGCTCTCAGATGACAGGAGTGCTCCAGAAATAAAATACAACTCCATGGTGCTGATCTGTGCTCTTATAGGATCTGGTGAGTATTCAGGAGAGGCTACTCCCCAAGATCTATGTATGCAATATAGTTCTCTCCTACAGCTGAACACAGAACATGTGCAAACACACTGTGACTGGTTCTCTGTTCACAATGGATAGAAACACAAAGGTTCAGTTTACTTTGCCTCTGTAGTGTCTATCTATAATGTCAAGGATGAAGCTGTTAACTCAGTTTTGGATATGAACTGTAGAAACTTGACCATGACTTCTGTAGGATGCAGCTAGCTCAAACTTTGACAGGAAAGAAATGAAAGCATTTAAAACTGTACAATATCAAGTTGTCTTTGCAAATATGCAGATCACAAGAATTTCATTTTCATTTCTAACTGCAAGTTCCCTGTAATTGATGTGTGATGGGTACTTTAGGAAGGATCCTTACTTACATTTATGTCACTAGGAAGACTCCTTCCCTCAACAGCCAACCAAGCACAACGTGCACTAAGACACATCAGTGCTGGACACTGTAAACTCTCATCTCTCTGAGTTCACCCTCTGCTAAAGGTCATGCTGTTCACAGGCTCTTCAAACAGGCTGTGGTTTGTTATTGCAACTTCCCACCTGAGTGTGGGCAGACAAATACCACAAAACAAAAAAGAGCAAGATGTCATGGAGAAATTTCATTCAAGGTTTCAGGAAATTGCTACGTTTCTTTCATTCAGTTCTTTAAGCAAGATTGAATCTGTGGAGAAAGAACAGATTTCATTCCGTAAAGGTCTAGGCATTCACAGTCAACTAAGATGACAAAGAACTGGAATAATTACAGAAAGGTGGAAAGTCAGAGCCTGTCTGCACAACTTATCAGTGTGAAACCTATGAAAGTTCTCTAGAGATTAGTTTACAGCAATTCAATTAATAGATTAAAAGTTACCACAGTTAAATGTGTGCTATCTCTGTAAACAAGTATGCTTTTTTACTTAAATAGAGTTCACCATGCCTACTGCAAGTGTAATTTTGGAGACCTGTACATCCATGCAAGTGAATATTATATTCCTGCCATCTTATAGGAACAAGTACTCGGTTTTAGAAAGTATAGACATCTCAGTGTGCAAAGATTGTGCTCAAAATTTGCTAACAAGCCTCAGCTCGCAGTTGGCACTCACTTTAATGCTAAGACATGTAAACTTAGTTGTTACTCACAACCTTCTTGAGACATTTCATGCTTGGGACTATCCATGCATTTTGGAGCAGAAGCCTTTTGCCAAAGGTTCACAGTCAGCCTCACTGTCTTGATCATTATTTCCACTGCTTACAACTAAAATAATCATCTTCAGGAAATCTGCCTGACAGTTGCATTTTCCCTTCCTGAATCTTGTCAGCTGCAAGACTCACCAAGTTATTTAAAGTCATATAGCTGTCTCTCTTGTCCACCGGAGTACAGAGCAGTCTTATCTTAGGGGAGGTATTTTAGGGTTATCCAAATGGCAGAGTTCAGTCTGCCACTGCACTGTAAGCTTTGCCTAGGCATAAGGCTCCTTACCCTGCTCCCAGAGAACAGACAGCAGCTTGTCACTGCATTATGCAGCTGTGAAGTTAATGCCCAGGATTTGACTGATCCAGTGTTCTGCTTTGCTTCCTGATGAACAGACCTGTGTAAAATCATTGAGGACACAAAAATAACTGTGCAACCCTGGTATTAACTTCTAAGTTGGGGTGGGGAGTTTACTATTTTAACCAAGGAGAGGAGAATCAAGGAGCTGATTGCTCTTTACATGGGAAAATACTACCTCTTACAGCTCTGTTGCCTCTAAACTGTTTTCATTACCATCATGAGCCACGTTTCCTTATTCTGCTGTGAACAGACCTGTATAGTTATTTTTAAGGTATACCCCAGTATAGTTCAATCAAGACTAGAAGCAGCTCCACTGGTTTAATTCTCCAGTGGCTGCTGTTGTTACTATGTTTTGTTATGGGGTATCTGGCATCACATTTAACCTGATGTTGTTAATATCTGTGTGTTCACAGAATGGGTCAAGTTGGAAGGGACCACAGTGGTCCAGCTTCCCTGCTCAAGCAGAACCATCCTAGAGCACATGCAGAAGGTTACAGTGAGGGAGACTCCAGAACCTCTCTGGGCAATCTGTTCTGGTGTTCAATCACCTGCACAGTAAAGCAGTTCTTCCTCATGTTCAAGTGGAACTTCTGTGCATCAGTTTCTGCCTGTTGCCTCTTGTCCTACTGCTGGGCATCACTGAGCAGAACCTGGTTCTGTCCTCTTCACACCCTCCCTTCAGATACTCAGACACTGATGAGTTTCCTTCTTTGTCATCTCTTCTCAAGGCTGAATAGACCTGGCTCCCTCAGCCTCTCCTTCTGAGAGATGCACCACTCCCTAAATCATCTTTGTTGCCCTCCACTGGATCGACTCCAGGAGCTCCTTGTCTCTCTTGTACTGAGGAGCCCAGAACTGGACAAAAGCACTGCAGATGTTGCTTTATCAGGACTGAGCAGAGAGTCTATTGACCTGCTGTCCATGTTCTTCCTAATGCACCCATGATACCAGTGGCCTTCATGGCTACAAGGACACGCTGCTGGCTTATGGACAGCTGTTTGTCTACTAGGACACCCAGGTCCTCCACAGAGATGCTTTCCCTAGATCAGCCCCCAGCCTGGGCTGGTGCCTTGGGTTATTCTTCCCCAGGTGAAGAACTCTGCATTTGCCTTTGTTGAACTTCAATTGGTGTTAAGTAGTTAACAAATACCTATTTTTTTGTGATTCTTTCCATCTGGAAGTTCCTCTTGCAACTGAGTGAATGGATAAGGAAAGAAAAATGAGGACAATGGAAAATGGATCATCCAAAGCAGAGCATTCTTAGCTAGCACAGTGAAATACCTTGCTTAAACATGTTGGTATCTCAGCAGCAGGCAGGAAGTGCATACATAGCATGAACACCCCAACAGCTTCACTGACATCAGTCTGTACATACACCTTCCCAGGTGTACAGCAGCATGAGAGGTGCCAGTGGTAGGGGTTAAACTGCATGAGAACTAAAAACATGTGAAGAAGAAAGTAGGTAGGGATGAGAACAAATGCTAAAGCTTGCTTTTAAATAAAAAATAAGTAAATAGCATAGCATAACGCATAGCTATCTGAAACAGGTAGGTTTTCTTCTGGGAAATTCAGAGATTAGGCCCCCAGCAACATGTGGAAAGCAAAATAATAGGTATTTGTTGCTGAATGGGATTTCACTAGAGAGGCATATAACAAAACCAACCATTTTAGGTCAAAACATTGAGATTTTCAGTGTACAGGGCTTTGAGAACACTTGTCAAATTTTTTACAATTTTTGCTCAATTTTTTGAGTTGCTGCCAACCTCTCTTAAATAATACAAAAAGTAAATAACATGCAATCCAGGATCAGAATCATCAGTGTCTCCTACTTTGAGTAGAAGATAAACACTGCATCCATATGCACAGCAATGGGCAGTACTCTACATTATGTTGTTTGCATTAATTTCAGAGCTGAGCTGTAAAGGGACAGCAAACAGTGATCAGGTGTGACACATCCATTAAGGACCCATCTCGCACCCCCACACAACCAGTAAGAGTTGACACACACAAATGAAGCAGTGAGTCTGTCACAGCCAGCTCATTTGGTCAGGCTAGTTTAAAGAGTAAAAAAAAAAAAATGTTTTCATTAAAAATATTTCCTAAGCATCTGCTTTGGAAGGCAATCCAGGTAGATATTCTTAACTGCTATGCAGCAGCTTCATCATTCATCATGACCTGAAATCCATGGAGTTTGTGTGTGCTGGAGGCCCTGAAAAGTTGTCTCTCCATCATCAAAAGCAATTCAAAAAAGTAAACAATAACCAGATTATGCATACTCACAGCTGCATGCTTGTGTGTACAGAGTTTAATAGAAAAGTTTCTCAGTTTTCTTCTGCTTATCTCATACAAAGCACTGTTTCTTTTAATATTTCCTTTTCCAGAATCTCTTCAAAAGGAAGTGCAGAGCATGGCATTTCTAGAAGTCATATCAAAACTCCGCAGCCATGAGAACAAAACTGTTGCCCAGCAGGCCTCGCTAACAGAGCAGAGACTTGCTGTAGAAAGCTGAGGAAGGTCTTGTTTCCAGTGCATCCCATCACAGATTTCACCTTTGTCCTCCGTCCTGCTGCCGCTCCTGCTATGTTTTCCACTGTATCACTTGTGCATGCGTGTAACGTTCCCACACAAATTGATGAACTGCTGTAGGTACCTGTCCAGAAAGGTTTCTACAAATTCATAGGTGGTGTTAACATGAACCTGTCTCCACCCGTAACTGTTCTACGTGTATTCTTGTTGCTTGGGCCACATAGTAGAATGTGCATGTTGTAGTCCTATGATGATGTAGAAGTGGTACTACACAACTGACTCTTTCCTCATGCCCCCTTAACTGCATAAAAATGTACTACTAAATTAGGGACGAGATGCAGCAGGTCCAGACTAGTGTGCTGACTATAGGATTAAGAAGTAAATCTAGCTCAATTTTTGGTGCTTTGGAGATTCAGGTTTGAATGCAATGTACTGCTGCTCATTCACTGGTCTTGCCTATTAATGTCAAACTCGTGGTACCTAGAGGTAACAAATAAAAATTTCAGTGCTCTCACTTTACCCTGTGGTTTGTCCTTTTTTCTAATCCCACGCAGAAGCCGTGACTGCACCACCATGCACTGGTGAGTTCTTTTTGTTCTTGGCTCTGGCCCGACGTGATCACTGCCTTTCAGCTGAGCAGATACAAAGGAAGCTATTCCAACCACTTTCACTGTGTGTGCTCACACAGAGGCACTGTGTGGCATAACAATCATGCATTTTAGCAGCAGTGCATGATACAATCCTTATCCTGTAAAGCCATGTGCATACAAGTGCTCCTGGGCTTGCTTGGGATTGCTTCTTTGTTTACTGGGGGGTTTTTATAGATGGATTTTTAAAGGAATATCTTGCAGCAGCTGTTCAACAGAAGCCCATTGAATGAGAAATAGAAGATGCAAGAGACTTCCTATTGCTCCTTTCCTAGGTAAGGGAGATGGAAAACTGCCAGTCTGAGCATCTTATCTCACAGCTGCTCTTTTGTAGGTCTGTAACATGCCAACGAGCAAACTAGCAGACGGCACTTTGGCAAAACAAGGAGCCAGTTGGGATAGCGGTTTCCAACAAGCCTGCAGATGTTATTTTGGACTGTGTAATACCATTGCCTAGCTTGATCAAGCCCACCATGCATGAAGGTCACAAGATCTAAAACATTTTAAAGTGAATTCAGTATCCCCAATGCTGTAGTGCCAGCCTTCACTGAAGTTTCCTTTTCTTACCAGCAGAGGCAGCAAACCCAAAATCCAAACACTATGAGATCCCATGCCAGGTAATTGCAAACCAATGCTTTTGACTTTCACAAATTCACTCCCCAGCTCCATGAAACCACTGCTTATTCCTCAGATACTGTGATGGGAAGATGCCAGTCATGAGGGTAAAGGGATTACTTACACAAGCTGGGTATGAAAAGAAACTTGCTTTCAATAGCCAGCTTAAGGTCTCAGATTGTACCAAAACACAGCAGATGCTACAGGAATTTTCACACTGCAGAGATTCCACATCCATTTAATCCAGTGCCAGAAACATGCAGAAAAAGCCTCCAATACCAAACTGCACGACAGCAAAAACCCAAAACAACAAAACACACATTCAAAAAGGCATTTGCTAGTACTACTGCAGTAAAACCACTGACAAGAGTGCAGAACTGTCAACACAGACCAGGAGCTTCTGACATCGGGCTCCAAATAACATAGAACCTCTGCACTGCTGCTGAACATAACCAGCATGTTTACAATCACAGCTCACAGGCCCTCACAAGCCCAAGTTCTCTCAGGCACAGAAACCCTATTGACTTTAACAGAACCCAAAATAACATTTGAAAGGCCAGTTATCAACAACCTACCTGGTTCTCAAAAGAGACTATTTATTCCTTTTGACATTGGTATAAACTGCAAGTGCTCACACAAACTGGCTGTGTTGTTGACAGAATTCCCATTTGGTTGTCTAACTGGAGCTGTGGTTAAGCATTAGTTCTATACTCATTATCAAATGTTTATCAGGAATACATATCACTGTCACAGCAAGCATAAACACAGGCCAGTGGTGATACCCTACTTTCAGATGGTTCCCCTGGATGGAATATCAAATGACTTGCATTTCTAGATAAAATCTGTGCTGAGCCTGGGAAGGAAAGCCCACATAAGGGCAAAGATGGGTGTATACCACAGTAGAAGGAGGTAATTGAATAGACTAGCCACACAAATGCTGTGCTGTCCTGAGGTGTGCTGCAGTCTGCAGGGTACTTCTATGTAGTTAGAAAATCATTTATCCTCTGAGCACCTTTAAAACACAAATGGGATCAAAGGACCTTACTATCAAATGCATTTCATTACTATCTGGACTGAAGTCAAATGAAGTGAAAACGCTGACAATAATTCCAATCAGATGTTTCCTAGCTAGATTGCATCTAAGCAAACCTTGACATCTGCTGCTCAGACTGTTTCTATGACAGCAATGCCAGACATGGGGCCTTGTCTTTGTCTTAGTGCCATCACAGCCAAGCCAGAACAATCCCTACGGCCATACCACTAGGCAGGCAGCACCTCCCTCGAGTGTCACACTCGTTTGCATCTGTACAAACTTTGCAAGGCCCAGCATCTCACTGTTGGGAACGTGAACACATCCACTTGTTTTAACATTTCAGTGTCCTTATTACAAGAAAAAGCTTCACTCTGGATAAGGCAGAAACCCCAACAATACTGGCCTTGCATCCAGAGTCCCCATTGGAAAAGGTAATTTGTTTTAAAATGGTAACCAGCCTCAACTTCAAGAATCAGTGTACAAGTCTGTTAAGAGTTTGACAGATGGCATATAGCCACTCCTAGTCTCCCTCTCCATCATGAAAACACTTATCCAAGTTTGTCACATCTATTAGGCAATGCCCTTGGCCTTTCTTCTTTTTTGTAAACTTTTGGTCATTCCTGTGTTTGTGTGTCAATCTGTCCCCAGTTTAGATGTTTATTTTGCCAAATAATTTCCATACATTCAGATAAATGTCATATGCCTGAAATATGCAAAAGGCATTAGACTTCAATCTGGATATAGATATGCTTTTAAATTGATCACAGTGCCATTTTGTATACAAAACCTAGAGGTTTTTAAATACTTTTTTAAAAAAAGTCTGCCTGCTCCTCTATCCAAAGTAGCACAAGACATCATTACCCATTTTTACCTGCACAAAAATGTAAGCCAGTTCTCACTACTTCTGTTTAAAGACATGTCGGACTTATTTAAACTTTTGAGAAGGGAGGTGGGAATTTCATTTGTCTAAGTCTTGCAAAGCATCAACTTCTGAACACATCAGTGTCACCAGAATAATTCTGGGGAGAGCACAGCCACTGCAGCCCGAGGAACATCAGCAACCTGTTGGAAAGAAGCAGAGCATGTTCATTAGGCAGAGACTTCAACAACAGCTGACAGCAAATAAGGGATCTCTTCATGTGGGGACATTTTCTTCATTTCTTAGCTTATTATTCACCTAAGGGCAGCCACTGGAGGCATGAGCATGTTTTGTGATTTAATCAGAACACAGTATTCTACAACACATATGAGAGATGGGGATTTATTTCCCCTGTTAGTTTGGAGGAAAGAAGGTAGTGATCTTTTCCTGGAAGAACTTTCCATGAATGTATCTTTCTTGTTTATATTAAGTGCTACATCAAGAGTGCATACACATTCACAACAACATATTTCACACAATTTTATTTATAAAATTGTAATTATCTAACAAATTGCATATAAAATGATTTACTTCAAGTAAATACAGAATACTGCACGACTATTAAAACTATTGTATTGTCCATCATAAGTGTATTAAAACATTCCTAAAAAATGCCTCTATTAAAAAACAAAAACCCAAGAACACAAGTAGCATGACCAAGACCATTTTCAATAGCTTAAAATGAATTACCAGGAAGTTGCATTAACTTCCTAGGTAGACTCCAGTTACATCCATTGAGATCAGCATGTGATACAATACCACAGTCTAATGCTAAAGATGACAAGTAATACATTATGCACCTGATCTATGCTTTTCTCCTAGACTGAAGGGAACCAGTCTGAAATCAGAAAACTAAAGCTCAAGTCAAAGTCTACTGGGCATGCAGTTCTGTTATAGCAATACTTTCAATCGGTAAGTGTAGTTGGCTTTTACAATCAATTTTACAACTGATAAAAAAGGAACACAAGAGAATACATTCGTATAAAAAGGAATGATACACAAAGGGTAAATATTGACACCTTGCTGTACACCTTCAGATGAACAAGACAGAAAGATTCAGATGGAACTGATCTGGAATATATGTATCAGAAACGGATCTGAGTCACAAACCCACATCCCAATCCTCCCAGAGCTCTAGGTCCATCTCTACTATGTACACAGTGTGAGCATGAACACACATACAGATGGAGCTTTTTATTGACACACTTATATTGCCAAAACACAAAAGACAGCTAGCAGTGCTGCCTTGTGCATGGTAATGTATTCATATACTGCATGTTAAGGGAGAAAGATTTTTTATTTCTTTTTCTCAAGGGGCAAAATTCGGTAGTGAATGGATCAGGGTAGTAATATTTCATTTGTTTTAGACAGTTTCATCATTTGTTATGGGTATTTGAAAAAGATTCAGAGAAAAAACAAAAATGGGAGGAACATTCAGCAGTGCTTGATGCCTTTTGAGGTCTAATTACCATCCCAGGTATTTGCAGAACTGCTATTTCAATGCATCCAAAAGACATACACAGCAAGAAGGGAAACAGAATCAAAAATTCAGACAATAGTTTCTCTCATAACTAACCATATTAACCAAGACCAATTTTAACAAGGATATCTCTAAAGTAGTAAAAACACAGATTGATGTCCA